CATTGCCAGCTGGTAAGTTCGCATTCTGGTCTGTCTGTGTCTCTCGGCCTCTCTCGACACGTTCCGGAAAGTGGGTTCTTTCTTTATGAGGCTTGTGGACTCGGACGGAGCGGGGTTTGCGAGGTACATAGCTGTTGGGCTGGGGGACAGGTGAAAACTTCCTCTCTTCCCCTCCCATCACCACCACCACCATCACGAGCAACATTACTTGCACTGGAACCTGCAGGCTTCTTGTTTATCTTGCTTCCCCAAACTTCCTTTATCCCTTGTCTTGCACCAACTTCCAACGGAAGCTGGCTTAACTGCTCAGAGCCCAATTCTAAACAAGCCCCCTTGGAAATACTGTACATTCCACAGAGATCAAAGTGCCTTGAGTATGTGTAGGGAGGAGAGGATGCTTTGCACTTTCATGTTTCAAGAGGAAAAAGCTAGTTTTTTCAGACTTGTATATACACATGAATTCAGCTGTTGACTTGCCTGAAATACTATAAAGTGAGGAGCACTTGTCTCTCTATGGCTAAAACTAATTTTAGGTTCTGCTTCCTTAAAAAAACCAACATGGTGTTTTACAATGTTGGTCTCTTGCGTGTAGGGGAGGGAGCTGAATGTACACCATACGGACCCTAGCCCAATCCAGTTGGGATATTACTCATGATTTTGGAGGTGTAGCCATGTTAGTAGTCATTGACAGGATTGCTCCTAAATATCTCCTGCCAGGAGAGCCAGACTGGCTGCTTGGTTAACCTGGGAACTGGTGGTGATGAAACAAGTGGGGTGTAGGTTTGAGCAAAGATGGTGGCAAAACTCAGAGTGAATCTGACCAAACGTAGGCTAGATCCCATTGGAAGGCCTATTCCCTGGTTGTGGAAACAGCACAGAAATAATTATTCTCTGCCACCATTGCATCAGCAATTTGAGTTGTCAAGGGGTTATTATATCATTGCCTGTAGGAAGAGAATGCAGACCACATTGTAGCTTGTTGTGAAGAATTTGCACAATATTTTGTTGGTAAAACTTCTTAGATGCACTCTGACCTGGATATTGTAGTTGATCTGAATGTAACTTTGGTCCTGCTTGCCCTGTGTTAACGGATGAGTTTCAGTTTCTGCAGACTGATGATGTGTCGAGTGGGCAGGAAATTGGTACTGCTGCTGAGAGCGGCAGCTTTCGATGCCACTGACCATGATATTCTTCTGTCCTGTCTCTCTGGGATGGGACTTGTGGACACTGTTTTACGGTGGCTCCAGTTCTTCCTAGAAGAGAAAACTCAGAAGTTGATGCCAGGAGATTCCTTTTTAAAAATATTTTATTTTTAACAAAGGGTCATAGGAAGAAAAAAGGGATTGAGGTTAAGGGGAAGAGGAGAAACAATGACATACTAACATCCATTCTATACATATTGCCATATCAAAATTCCAAATTGCTCTTTTTACTATTTTCTGCCTTCCAGATTTAAGTTCTCATTTAATGCATATTCTTCAAGCGATGTCTGATGACTCAAACCATTTGTAGAATAAATCCCATCTTTCAGTTGCCTTTTGTAGAGGACAGTCCTTCATCACTTCTGATAAAATGTCTATTTCCACTGTTTCCCGTATGATGCCAGGAGATTCCTGTTCAACACCCTGGTCACTGGCCTGCAGGGTTCCTCAAGGTTCTGTGTTGTCTCCTATGTTGCTTAATATTTACATGAAACCGCTGCAAGAGGTTGTCCGAAGTTTGGCGTCACCAGTATAGAAACTTAATCTAGACAAGGTAGAGGTGCTTCTCGTCAGTCAAAAGGCAGGGCAAGGAATAGGGATGCTGCCTCGATGAACAGGGTTACACTCCCTCTGAAAACACAGATGTGCATCTTAGGGGTGCCTTTTTTGTAATGCTCAGTCCAACAACTTGTATTTCATCTTTATCTTTAAAAAGTGTCGTACATATATGGAAGTGTACACCCATATGAACATACACACATTGCTTGTGCCTCACTGTGCTATTTATTCTGCAGTGTAATTTTATCCCCTCTCTTCAGTCCTCCTAATATTTTGCCTTTCATTTTTTTCAGGATATGGTTTCTTATTTCCTGTTAATGTGAATAGAGATGCTTGTATTAACTTAAAATGGTGAGTGCATATGTGTACGTTCCATAGCCCCAGTGGCTTCTGCCAGATTCCCACTCTCCATGGTAGTCACAAAATCAACAGAAGATATTTCAACTCAGTGGAGTTAATTGGAGTGAAGAAAGGGAAAACAAACTGCAACAAGGATGGTCTGTAGTTCCTTTCACTGGTCCTATTGTTTCTGGATCAGTGAACCACCCCTTGATTTTATCCACTGAGGGAGCATTTTTGGGTAGATTCAGGTCTCTTCACTGAATCCCCACCATTATTAACAAAGTCCCTTTATCCATTTCGGTTCTTTCCTTTCATGTCGCCCCTTGGAGAAAAGAGTAGTACACACACACCAAGGGCAGTTTGGCTGGGGTTCTTCCGTTGATACATGGGGTCTTTCCACCTCCCAAGATTGGTTGTCGCAAGAATCCTTCCCTCTCTCAGTGTCCATCCCAAGATGGGGCAGATCTGCCTGTCTTCCTTTGTTGCCTCCTCTTCTCCAGCTCTTCTCTCCCCAATAAGAGGGTCAAGGAAATGGTTTGGCTTTGCATTTGAGGTTTACCATTTTGGTACTCAAAACTGCACCCAGACTCCCAGACTGGGTGGCCTTCTTAAATAAACAGGACAAAGAAATAGAGGAAAATAATAGAGAGGGAAAAACCAGAGATCTGTTCAAGAAAACTGGAGACATGGAAGGAACATTTTGTGCAAAGAATGACATGATTAAGGACAAAAATGGTAGGGATGTCACAGAAGCAGAGGACATCAAGAAGAGGTGGCAAGAATACACAGAGAAATTGTATCAGAAAGATTTGGATATCCCGGACAACCCAGATAGTGTGGTTGGTGACCTTGAGCCAGATGTCCTGGAGAGTCAAGTTGTGGGCCTTAGAAAGCATGACTAAGAATGAAGCCAGTGGAGGTGGTGGCATTCCAGTTGAACTATTTAAAATCTTAAAAGATGACGCTGTTAAGGTGCTACACTCAATATGCCAGCAAGTTTGGAAAACTCAGCAGTGGCCAGAGGATTGGAAAAGATCAGTCTGCATCCCAGTCCCAAAGAAGGGCAGCACCAAAGAATGCTCCAGCTACTGTACAGTTGCGCTCATTTCACACACTAGCAAGGTTATGTTCAAAAGCCTACAAAGTAGGCCTCAGCAGTATGTGGACCGAGAACTCCCAGAAGTACAAGCTGGATTTCGAAGGGGCAGAGGAAGTAGAGACCAAATTGCTAACATGCGCTGGATTATGGAGAAAGCCAGAGAGTTCCAGAAAAACATCTACTTCTGCTTCATTGAGTACGCAAAAGCCTTTGACTGTGTGGACCACAGTGTGAAGGCAAGAAGAGAAGGGGACAACAGAGGACAAAATGGATGGACATTGTCATTGAGGCCACCAACATGAATTTGACCCAACTCCGGGATGCAGTGGAAAACAGGAGGGCCTGCCGTGCTCTGGTCCATGGGGTCACGAAGAGTCAGACACAACTTAATGACTAAACAACAACAAAAGCACCTCGGTCTCTTCCTCCAATGTTACAGGCCAAAACTTAACTATCTGGGCAGAGAGAGATAACATACCAGCGATCTCCGCCTGATTGACCAAATTGTCTGTGAAGTCCAGATCACACTGTAAAGCTTCATATAGCTTCATAGCTCCCCAGGGTGCGATAAAGCTATACCACGCAAGTCACAATACTGTTATTATATATAATGTTTTAGCAATCATTCTCTTCTTTCAATTTTCCCGCAGCATTCACAAAACAGTCTTTCAAACGGGGAAGTCGTTTGTTGTTCAACGGTGCTTCTCTTCTGAAAAATCCATCTTTGTTCAAATTATTTTTGGCTTGGAATTGCTATATCTCACTTGATCATAAGTCACTCGGTTTTTCACTGTCTGCTACCAACACCAGTAAAAGATTGAAAATCACCGGGCCCAGGACTGAGACTTGGGGTACCCCGCTAGATACCTCTTCCCAGTTAGAGAATTACCCGTTAATCCTCTAAGTGATTTTGTAGCCACCTGACACTTGATCTATCCAGCCCACACCTAGGTAGCTTGCTAATCAGGATATCATGGGGCACTTTGTCAAAAGCTTTGCTGAAGTCAATATATACTACATCTACAGCATTCCCTCTGCCTATCAGGGAGATGACCTGATCAAAAATTGACATCAAATTAGTTTGGCAGGATTTGTTCTTGACAAATCCATGTTGGCTTCTAGTTATTACTACATTGTTTTCTAGGTGCTTGCACACGACCGCTTTATGATCTGTTAAAGAATTTTGCCTGGGATTGATGTCAGGCTGACTGGCCTGTAGTTCCCAGGTTCCCCTTTTTTGCCCTTTTTGAAGATAGGGACAACATTGGCCCTCCTCCAATCCTCTGGCATCTCACCTATTTCCCATGATTTCAAGAAAAGAATGGCTAGTGGTTCTGAGAGTTTGTCGGCCAGTTCCTTCAATACTCTTGGATGCAGTTCATCTGGCCCTGGAGATTTGAACTCGTTCAAGGTGGTAAGGTATTCCTTAACTTTTGGTATATCTATCTCCAGCTGCAATCCTGTTCCCCCCCCCCTTGCACTTGCAATTTGTTTGGAAGTTCATGGTCTGTCTTATGGGAATTGAGCACCTTTGCCTTTTCTTTGTCGTCTGTTATAATTTTTCCATCTCCATTGAGGAGCTGTACTACTATGTCTTTTGTTTGTCTTTTGCTAGCCACACACCTGAAGAAGGCTTTTTGATTGCTTTTAATGTCTCTAGATAACCTCAGCTCATTCTCAGCTTTTGCCCTCCTAATGCCATCCCTGCATTTCCTTGTCTTTACTCATCCTTGGTGGCCTGGCCATAAACATTTAATTCAATGGGTTGGAGCATTTTACTGCAGAGCTAGGGTCTGAAAATCTGAATCCCCATTGTGTCTTCTATGAGAGTAGCCAGTCAACATCACCTGAAATGCTGATGGGGTTATATATCCAGCTGTCTGTGCAGCTTTGGGTAAGCTGTACTGTCCCATAGCAGCACTAGAAAGAGGATGACTGGTAAGCCATTTTTGCATACCGTGTTTTTTGCTCCATAATTATTATTTATTATTTATTGAATTTATA